AGTAGTACTATTGTTAGTAGAGGTAGCAAAGCAGCAGAATTAGTAATTGTGAAGAGGACGGATAGAAGCTAGCGATACAAGTCAGGCATGTAATGCGTTTGTGTATCAGTAAACATGAAACATAAGTAAAGGACCTTTTTCACGCCAATAGTCTGTGGGGCATATACTGCTTGCTATAAACTCATATGTTTATAGACCGGTTACCACTCGATGGGTGGTTTGCTCAGCATAACACCGACTGCCTTTTCTTCCCAGGACATTTCCCGGCGCTAATTTTAGCTAATTAAGCTGGGAGCCGTGGTCATTTTTAAAATCCGCTCAGCGAAAATGCGAATTTGAACTAAAGACCTTGACACCGACAGGCAAGCATCTGGCCAGTGCGGCTGCCTGTGTATCAATAGTTCTGAGGAAGTGATTTCTTGAAGTGGAAAACAGTTATTTTGTGATGAAGGCCGCCTTGTCTGTCTCTCAATGTTGTGTTCACCGAATGTGCACATTTGTTGTGTTGCGTGTTTGCACTACGGCTAGACTAGCTCGTGGACGCGATGTGTACACAGGACTTGTCGAGTCCTCGATCTGTTGTACAGTGACTAGTCGAGTCCTCGATCTGTTAGACAAACACACCTCGCGCTAATTGAGCGGATTTGGGCATCTTAGGGGGTTTTGTGTTGGTAAAGTCTTCTTGTTCTTCGCGTTTACCGGCTGTAAACTCCGGCGAAGAGTTCTGGTTGTTCTTCAATTTGTTCGTCAACCTCTGGACTGCTGTCCTGTTTCAGAACCTGTGTGTTGCGTTTGCATCCTTTTGACCGATCTGACTCATTTGTGTGCAGACTGTTTGTTCCTTGCCTCTCAGGCAGATACACTCCGACTTCAAAAAAAAGCTCCCTATAAGTCGACTCTTACGAGATGCTTTTAGGTAGGCAGTGAGTCTATTTTTGTTTTCCTCATAATAGGGCCCCGGAACCCACACAGGGTGGTAAAGTGTTAATTGAGGTGATCGGAACATGTATCATTTAGTGTTCGTGCCCTACAAACTGTAATCAGACCACATTCATGTTTGTCATGTCATCTCATCCTCCTGCTCTTTTGCACATACACTCTCTTCCTCTTTATCTCCTCTTCTTCAACTTCCGTCGCCGCCCTCATCTTCTTCTTTTGCTTCCAGTCTTCTTATCTCCGTACTACTTCATGCTTTTGCGTCTACGCTTTCCTTTATGTCTTCATTTCTTTCTTTCTTTCTTTCTTTCTTTCTTTCTTTCTTTCTTTCTTTCTTTCTTTCTTTCTTTCTTTCTTTCTTTCTTTCTTTCTTTCTTTCTTTCTTTCTTTCTTTCTTTCTTTCTTTCTTTCTTTCTTTCTTTCTTTCTTTCTTTCTTTCTTTCTTTCTTTCTTTCTTTCTTTCTTTCTTTCTTTCTTTCTTTCTTTCTTTCTTTCTTTCTTTCCTTCTTTCCTTCTTTCTTCCTTTCTTTTTTTCTTTTTCTTTCTTTTTTCTTTCTTTCTTTCTTTCTTTCCTTCTTTCTTTCTTTCTTTCTTTCTTTCTTTCTTTCTTTCTTTCTTTCTTTTCTTTCTTTTCTTTTCTTTCTTTCTTTCTTTCTTTCTTTCTTTCTTTCTTTCTTTCTTTCTTTCTTTCTTTCTTTCTTTCTTTCTTTCTTTCTTTCTTTCTTTCTTTCTTTCTTTCTTTCTTTCTTTCTTTCAAAAGAGTCTGTTTTGTCCTAGTTATGCTCGCATTTAATCTGTCTACCGCTGTGCCTGATGTGGATATATATTTGTTTCGGATTTTTTGGGCCTAGATTCCATCCACACTTTTGGACTATAATTATCTGAATTAGTAAGAATCCGCCATCCACGGGCACTCGATTAACTATTTGAAATAATTGCTTCTTTGTGGTGGCCTCAGATGTTGGCTTGCTGGGGCCGTGACAAGTTGTCCTTACTTGTGAGGCCTCACATACACAGACACATGACCAGTTCTTGGAGTATATGAAATGTTATCTTCATAGAAGGAGCACTTCAGCTGAAACATATAACTGTAGACACGGACAGAAGCAGCAGCTCAGTTGCCCGCCCACCGAGGGTGAGGCGAGTTCCTCAGTTGTGAGATGTCTCACACAGATACACCAATAGTTTTTGGAGCATAGGGTATGTTTTCCCAGTAAAAGGGGAATACATGTGACTTTAGAGTTGCCGGCCCTTGGGGAGTGGATTATTTCTGTGATGGCACAGGCACGATGAAGGATGATCTTGATAGACAAACCCTCACCGAGGACCATACAGAAACTGAAAGCCAAGCAGCTGGCACCTTTGTGAGTATCTGGCCTTAGAATACAGTGATCAGACATTGTAGTCAATTTGTCTATGATCTTTAGAGTTTAGTTTAAAAAAAAATAGTGTAACATCTTCAAGGGCTTTATTTGTGTATGCATATTATATGCGTATGTGAATAAATGAATGAATCTGCATTTATATATATATATATATATATATATATATATATATATATATATATATATATATATATATATATATATATATATATATGTGTGTGTGTGTGTGTGGAAAGAGGGAGAGACAAAGATAGGAAGGAAAGAAGAATGGAGGGAAGAGAGAGAGAGAGAGAGAGAGAGAGAGAGAGAGAGAGAGGAGAGAGAGAGAGAGAGAGAGAGAGAGAGAGAGAGTAGCATGTGTTGGAACATCCTCTTTTCGTACACACACTTCCAAAAGTTCAGAACTCGAATCTCTGCTTGTTGATAATTCAGTGAAAATATAATCCACCCTATACACACACATATATATATATATATATATATATATATATACACACACACACACACATTTAGCCATCAGTGCCACATATATATGAAAAAATGCCAAAAGATAACACTGAGAAGTGAGAGAAACTCAGAGAGAGAGAGAGAGAGAGAGAGAGAGAGAGAGAGAGAGAGAGAGAGAGAGAGAGAGAGAGAGAGATGTACTTACGAAAGAACAGATAGATATATTATTATCAAGGCAAATGAAAGTCGAGCAGATGAAAAAAAAAAAAGAGACATAAAGCGAATTTACGACCAAGGTGACTGATGTGTACAAACCATAATATGTTATAAATATTCTTTTGGGAGTTTGCGTTCTAATTTTAAATTAGTCTGGTCTGCTCTTTTCTCATTAGTCTGGCCTGCTCTTTTCAAATTAAATGGCTGATGAAAGTTTAACAAGTGCAAGTTGCATATATACCCTTCTAGATTGTTTACCCTTATCCAAGAGCGCTAAATGTTTCCATTAAGAGAGAGAGAGAGAGAGAGAGTGTATGTGAGTGAGTGAGTTTGTTATGATCAGAGGCTGGGGTTGTACATCTAAACCAGCCTAGCTCAGCTCTTCTGTATGCCTGTGATAGCCTAGGAGCTGTGAACTCAGTTTCATAATTCTGATGTACTTGGTTGATTCAGCTGCATGCAGTTTGGCATCAAGAAAGTTTACACTTATTGCAGCCAAAAGTATAAGAACAACCATTGATGCTACAGTGCTGGGACTGGATGCAACTAACTTCTATCTGAAATAGATCTGTCACATCGTGAAACCTTACTTGCACATTCCTGATGTCAAACCATCAGTCACATCCATCAAAACACAACCTTCCAGCCATCGCTCAAGTTATTACCTACAATTCACCAGTTAAATTTAAGCCATTTATCATATTGCACACATACGCACATACATTTTATCCATGCTGTCATAATTACATAAGAATTTTCTTTTCATTTTGTTGCTAGTATCATAGTTGTGCATCCTCAGTAGTTTTTTTGTGTACATGTGATGTGGACTTTCTGGCAAATCTCCCGGCTTTGATATTAATGTTTTTGCTGACAACTGTAAGTTAAGTCCCTAGGGTGCAGTTTTGCAATTTATTTTTTTATGTGTAAATTAAAATTGTAGTAGTCTTGTGTTTTATTTTTTGTTAAAACTGCAGTATCACTTTTTAGGACAGGGGAGTCTTTTGTCGATGATTTACTTGTCATGAACTGTGTATATTAGGATGTTTGTTTTTGCCCCCAACAGACCAGATAAAAAAAAAAAATTTAAAACTTATATCACTACAGTCAACAGAAACGTGTTACAGGATGATGATGAATATCATCATCATCATCACTATACCAAAGATTCAAACCTGGGTCTCCTGCATTCATTGTTTGAATTAACACCACAATTAATTTTTTGAATTAAAACCACACTCAGGGCATTTAAGTGTCATGCAAATATAAAGACAACAGATAGAAAACATACATATTGTTCCAAATTTGGTTAAATTACAGAAATAACAAATGTGAAGACAAAAGATAGGAAATTTTGCAAACTTGAAGTTTTATAAGAATCACAAATATGAAAGGGTGAAATTGAAATACTTGTACATTTTTTTTTCACATTTTACAGAATTCACAAATTTAAAGGTTTGATTATAAGTAGAAAACAAACATATTTTGTACAAACAAATATCTTAAGAATTCAAATGTGAATTTAACAATACAGTTGTCCTAATTTTTTTTTTCTACAAATTGACCTTAAAGTAAAAGACCCTGCTCAGTTTGTCTCTATACACTAGACCTGATTTTTTTTTTTTTAATTAGCCTTTTAGAACTTGATTGTTGATGTGGTCAAGGTTGTGTTTGTTACCTGTATTTCCCAGTAAATTTCCAGATAATCATATTGAGTTGGGTCAACATAAGAACCCAGGTTAATTATAACAAACCTACCATTGGCCCAGATTAGTCAATGACCTTTGGGCTGCCAGAAAAGTATTTAGCTACTCTCCTACAGTAACCTCCTAGTTTAGGTTGCACATCTGCCTGTTTGCCTTTTTTTTTTTAACTTTAATTTTCCTAGAGATTTGTCATGTCCCTGATAACATGCACACAGGTCTCCTGATTGTTTTTGCCCTCGTCCAAGGTATTGCAGTCTCCTTTTTTTCAAGAGTATTCTTATTAATAAACTGAATGCTTTGTTTGCTTCTCCAGTTTACAGAATGGTGAAGTTGATACAACAAGTTTTACACGGACTGAATTTCTGGTGACCAGAGAATCAGGCGACGGCAAGGAGGACTCTGAAGATGCAGATGCTGTGTTATCTGATGGTCAGTTTATCCTAGTGTTAGTGGTCAGCTTATCCTAGTATTAATAGTCAGTTTATCCTAGTGTTAGTGGTTAGCTTATCCTAGTATTATTAGTCAAATATATCATAACGCTAATAGTCAGTTCATCTTAGTGTTAATAGTCAGTTTATCTTAGTTTCAATATTCAGTTTATCCTAATGTTAATAATCGGTTTATCTTTGTCTTAATAGTCAGTTTATCCTAGTGTTAGTGGTCAGTCTATCCTAGTGTTAGTGGTCAGTTTATCGTAGTGTTAATGGTCAGTTAATCCTAGTGTTAATAAAATAGTCAGTTTATCTTAGTGTTAATAATCAGTTTATCTTAGTCCTAATAGTCAGTTTATCTTAGTTTTAATAATCGGTTTATCTTAGTCTTAATAGTAAGTTTATCCTAGTGTTGGTGGTCATCTTATCCTAGAATTAATAGTCAATTTATCCTAGTTTTAAGCCCGGCTCTCTAGCGTAATTGGCTATACTGGATTGCGCGGTGACTGGGTGACGAACTCCTTGTGGTCCGGGTTCACTTCCGGGGGTAGGCAGAAAAGCCACATTTTCTCCCAGATTTACGGTATTTACAATGGAATCAAGGCCGAAAGGTTGCGATATCCATAATACCGAGCCTAAGGGTTAACAACTCATGGCTTCTGGATACTAAAACAAACAAAGAAACATCCTAGTTTTAAAAGTCAGTTCATCCTAGTGTTAATAGTCAGTTCATCTTAGTGTTAGTGGTCAGTTTATCCTAATGTTAGTGTAGTGTTTTTAGTCAGCTTATCCTAGTGTTAGTGGTCAGCTTATCCCAGTGTCAGTGGTCAGCTTATCCTAGTGTCAGTGGTCAGCTTATCCTAGTGTCAGTGGTCAGCTTATCCTAGTGTTAGTGGTCAGTCTATCCTAGTGTCAGTTGTCAGCTTATCCTAGTGTCAGTGGTTAGATTATCCTAGTGTCAGTGGTCAGCTTATCCTAGTGTCAGTGGTCAGCTTATCCTAGTGTCGGTGGTCAGCTTATCCTAGTGTCAGTGGTCAGCTTATCCTAGTGTCAGTGGTCAGCTTATCCTAGTGTTAGTGGTCAGCTTATCCTAGTGTTAGTGGTCAGTCTATCCTAGTGTTAGTGGTCAGCTTATCCTAGTGTTAGTGGTCAGCTTATCCTAGTGTCGGTGGTTGGCTTATCCTAGTAGTGTCAGTGGTCAGCTTATCCTAGTGTCAGTGGTCAGCTTATCCTAGTGTCAGTGGTTGGCTTATCCTAGTGTTAGGGGTCAGCTTATCCTTGTGTCAGTGGTCAGCTTATCCTAGTGTTAGTGGTCAGCTTATCCTAGTGTCGGTGGTTGGCTCATCCTAGTGTTAGGGGTCAGCTTATCCTAGTGTCAGTGGTCAGCTTATCCTAGTGTTAGTGGTCAGCTTATCCTAGTGTTAGGGGTCAGCTTATCCTAGTGGCGGTGGTTGGCTCATCCTAGTGTTAGGGGTCAGCTTATCCTAGTGTTAGTAGTCAAAACGGTAAAAAAAAAAAAAAAAAAACAGGTCTTACTTAATTATGAAATCCTCAGAAAAACGTGGTAAAATCATCTTTGCCCACAGTGGACTACAGATTACACTGGGCTGAGGTAGCCTTTATGGGTGCCCTAAATGTAACTTCTTAAGAGATTGAACGGGGGATCAGGAATCTGCATTGTTGGTGGGCATCTAGATTAAGATTTTTTTTTTTTTTTTTACATTTCAGGGTGGTTAAACTTCAGGTTGCATTTTGGAGGGGACAAACCATTTAACCAATTGAAAATGTAGAATAGGAGAAATGTAAAAAAAAAAAAAAAATTTTTTTTAAAAAGAATTAGAAAGTTGAAACATGAAATAAGAAAAAAAAAAAGGGTGTGGAGGAGGAAAAAAAGAAAATATTGAAGAGGAAGACAAAGAAGATGAAGGGGTGGTAGATAAGGAAGTAGACTAACAAGAAACAGGAAGATGCTAATTAAAATCATATAAAATCCCTAGCAATACACATATAACAATCACAGAAGTTTCAACAGCAAACAATTCTCCTCTGTGACAAAACACAAACACCAAAGAAGAAAAAAAATGGTTGTATGTTTTTCCCCTCTTGTGAAAGTTTCGGGACCCCATTGCGGGGGAAAACAATAATAGACTCACTGCCTATCTAAAAGCATGTCTTAAGAGTTGACTAACTGGGAGCTTCCTTTGAAGTAGGAGTGCATCTGCCTGAGAGGCAAGGAACCAACTGTCTGCATACAAATAAATAGGATCTGTAAAACCAATGTGCAAGCAACACTTAGATTCTGAATCAGGACTAGAGTTCAGAATTAGACAAACAACGAGAACCTTCCACCAGAGTTTAGAGCCGGTGGACGCCAAGAAAAATAAGAAGTATGATTTTTTAATGGCAGACAAACCATAAAAATTCTCGTTTACAAACTTTCAAGGTAATATGTAAATGTGTTGAGTTGTGTTGTATAGTGGTAAAGAACCGTTTTTATGTTAGTGACACATCTGGGATACGATGCTACTCTCATATTTGTATAGACTACATAGACTATTTGTATAGGCACTCGATGAGTGGTGTGGTCAGCTTCATGCCAGTCAGCTTTACTTCCCAGGATATTTCCTGGTACTCAGTTTAGGCTGAGTCAACATCAGTTTTAGAACAAGAAATAAAAAAATCCAACACAATGTGGATTAGAACTCAAGGCATGTGGGTTGGCAGACAAATGTTATCATATAACATATAATGTTTAATTAAGAATCAACATTACAGCCCTCAAGACATTCCCATCAGCGCTTTGTCCTTATCTCCAGCAGCAAGTGCAAACTTCCAATTCCGATGATACCAATGACAGTCTAATTGTATATCTATCTCGACTTTCCCCTGAGTGCTGAGCATCAACCAGATTCCCCCACTCACTCCCCGCAGCAACATTCTCCTCAGACCACCGTGATGATCCACCTGAGCCTCCACACTGCCCACTCATCCCCAAATGGCCCTTTCACCGTCTAGCTTGTCATGCATAGTTTATAATATTGACATCTTCAGATGTTATTACATTTTGCAGGAGAGCCTCTAGAAATTGACTACAGCAACTTGAGCTTCCTAGAGATCCCACCCATATCCAGTGACCAGGAGGATGATAGCAGTGGGGACGAGATAAGCTACCACAGGCCATCCAGGGTCTGCTTCAGCAGGAACCCTATCAAGGTGAGGATTAGTAGACAAGTGACTCTCAATCACTGCTGGCTACACATTGCAGTCTGTAGTCTCTCTGATCAGCTAAGTAGGTAAGACTTGTGTCCAACCAGTTCAGCAGACAAGGCTAGTGTCTTAGCCAGTCAGAGGTGAACAAGTCTTGTTTTATCCTGGTGGATGAGAGGTGGATAAGATGTGTGTCTGGCAGATCAGCCAGACAAGGCTGGTGTGTTAGCCAGTCAGAGGTAAACAAGTCTTGTCTTATCCTGGTGGATGAGAGGTGGATAAGATGTGTGTCTGGCAGATCAGCCAGACAAGGCTATTGTCTTAGCCAGTCAGAGGTGAACAAGTCTTGTCTTATCCTGGTGGATGAGAGGTGGATAAGATGTGTGTCTGGCAGATCAGCCAGACAAGGCTGGTGTCTTAGCCAGTCAGAGGTGAACAAGTCTTGTGTCTTATCCTGGTGGGTGAGATGTGTGTCTGGCAGATCAGCCAGACAAGGCTAGTGTCTTAGCCAGTCAGAGGTGAACAAGTCTTGTGTCTTATCCTGGTGGATGAGAGGTGGATGAGATTATGTCTGGCAGATCAGCCAGACAAGGCTGGTGTCTTAGCCAGACAGAGGTGAACAAGTCTTGTGTCTTTGCCGGTCAGAGGTAGATGAAGCTTGTGTTCAGCGAGTCAGATGTAGTCAAGAAGAATTGTGCCGTAGCCTCTCAGAGGTAGACAAGACCTGTGTCGGGCCAGTTCAACAGACAAGCTTAGTGTCTTAACTACTCAGAGGTAGACAAGACTTACATCTTAGCCAGAGAGGTAGACAAGACTTGTGTGTTTGCCTGCCTGAGGTAGACCAGATTTGTGTCTTAGCCAGTCAGAGATAGACATGACGTGTCGTAGCCAGTCAGAGGTAGACAAAGACTTGTGTCAAGCCCATTTTAGCAGACAAATTTAGTGTCTTAGCTACTCATAGGTAGTCAAGACTTGGGTCTTAGCCAGTCAAAGGTAGACAAGACTTGTGTCTTTGTCTAGATAAGACTTGTGTCTTCACTGTTCAGAGGTAGATACAACTTGTGTCTTAGCTATGCAGAGATAGACAAGGTTAGTGTCTTAGCCTGTCATAGGCAGACAAGGCAGGTTTCTAAGCCAGTTGAGGGTAGACACAACTAGTATTTTAGCCAGTCAGAAGTAGACAAAATTTGTGTTAGCCAGCTAGACAGATAAGACTTAGTGTCTTAGCCAGTTAGGTTACCAAGATTTGTCTCTCAGACAGTCCAAGGTAGAAAAGACCTTTGAGTTGAGATAAGAACTGACATACAGCACTCGGGACATTCTCATAAGTGCTGCACCCTCATCTTCAGCCGCCACAGCAGATTTATTATTCTTATGGTACCTGTCACAGTATTTTGTATGTACATCTTGCCTTTCCTCAGTGTCTAGCCTTGGTCAGATCCCCTGGTCAGTCCCAGTTGCAGCATTCTCTTGAGAACCAGGTGATCCATTTGTCTTCTCCACTGTTCACTGGCTCCGAAAAGGCCTTGAACACATCTAGCTTGTCATGCTAATTTACTATGAATAGTACAGAATGAGCCAATTTGCCATCCTGTTCATTTTCCAGTACAGCTGCATGTCCTGGAGAAAATATCCAAGGGACCTCATTTAGCCAAAGTCAATTATTGATATGTTTTCAGGTGTTTGCTACATATTCCACCAATGATTATGACAGACGTAATGAAGATGTGGACCCAGTTGCTGCCTCTGCAGAGTATGAGTTGGAAAAACGAGTGGAAAAAATGGATGTGTTCCCTGTTGTCTTACAGAAAGGTAAGCAGCACATACATTGGGGTAGGGGAAGAGGCTGAGGAAAAGAGAGACAGACAGACAGAAAAGAAATCTTTGACACCTCTCTGTCTTTCCAGATGAAAGTGTTAAATTATGTTATAGGGAAGGATGGGTATCACAGTCTGTGGAAACAGGATGTCAGGGCCATTGTTGCTAGAGCATGTATTTATCATTCTTCTTGCTCCCAAATGCCCAGCTCTCAACCTGTCTGGAGCCATTTTCTTCTTTGTCGCTGTTCCTGCCTTTTTGTTTTTCCACCTATGTGCAACACAGTCAGTGGTGTTCTGCTCCCATGAGTTTACCTCAGCATCTATATTGTTGCTGCCTCCATGGAGTATGAGTGGGGAAAAATGGATGTTTCCTGTTGTCTTACAGAAAGGTAGCATATACATTGGGAAGATGAGAAAAAAAAGGGTCGGGGGGGGGGGGGGGGGGGGGGGGGGTGGGAAGGTGAGAGAGAGAGGAAAACAAAAATCTGTATTTCATATAATAAAAGTTGACCTTAACATCTTCTGCAATTCACTATAGCAGATGTCCTTAGTGACTCAAAGTGTGGACTAGCCATCTGAGTATTCAGACAAATGTTATGATAAACAGTGGGTGGGGGGGGGGGGGGGATTTGTGTGCTTATTTTTTTCCATTAATTCTTTCAGTCCCAGAAAATCATAGCTGATGCCTGTTTGAAGCAATAGTAATGGCGTGAAATAGTAGGTATATTGCACCCACAGGGTCCACATAACACAGCTCATTGTGGGTTATTTGGGTTGTTGGGTTCATTTAGTTTGCCCGACTAAAGTTAAGGTGTACAAATATACAAAACACTTCGACTGGTGCACATGAGTAATCAGTGTACATGGTGGGTTGTTTGGGCCTGAAAGAGTTAATTGTTGAATTTCCTTTCATAAATAAATAAAAAGAAGGCAAAACCAGCTCAGTTTCATAATTTCTGGTATTGTCATCATCGTCATCAACAACTATTTCTTGTATTTTTGTATCATATTTCCGTAACATCATGTGTCATTAGGCAATACTTGCTCTCCACTGTCTGATCATCTTCCTCCTCCTTTCTTAGTCAGATGAAACCAATTTAACGTTTATATGTTTGAGGCCTGTCCATTCAGCCCAATTCATTGTATGTCATGTTTTCATTCTTCTTCTTCTTATAGTCCATTACATGTGGTGTTGGTAATCATATCTGCCTGCATCCGTCCTATCTCATGTACTTTCAGTCAACTCTGACACAGATGATCTCCCAGATGTCAGACTGTCCAGCATCTTCTTTCTTGTTCTCCCTGTGCCTCTTTTCCCCTGCAGCTTTCCCACCATCATTATATACTCCACTTGTTTCTTTATTATGACATGACCAAAGAATGTAGATTTTCCCCTGCAGCTTTCCCACCATCATTATATACTCCTCTTGTTTCTTTATTATGACATGACCAAAGAATGTAGATTTTCCCCTGCAGCTTTCCCACCATCATTATATACTCCTCTTGTTTCTTTGTTATGACATGACCAAAGAATGTAGATTTTTCCTTGCAGCTTTCCCACCATCATGTAGTCCACTTGTTTCTTTATTATGACATGACCAAAGAATGTAAATTCCCCCATCAGCTGTTATTCAGACTCTACTAATGTCCCCAGGTACAGAGGGGCTTGGCTTCAGTATAATTGGTATGGGCGTGGGAGCTGATGCTGGTTTGGAAAAACTCGGAATATTTATCAAAACACTGACACCCAACGGCGTAGCTCAAAGATCTCAACAGTAAGTCTTTGTTTTTTCTGATTTGATGTTGATTTTTTCATTACTATTTCACCCTCTTCAGGAATTTTGTGTCTCTGTTTAGGAGTAGATGTCATTGTTTAGATACTGATTATGTCTGTTTCAGAGTTGGTGTCAGTGAAAATATTATGTCCATGTCTCTGTTTCAGATTTGATGTCCTTGTTCAGATACTGATTGTATCTATTTTTAGAGTTGGTGTCAGTTATTGTAGTGTATCCATGTAAGTGTTCCAGAGATGATGCCATTGTTCAGATACTGTTGTCTGTTTCAGAGTTGGTGTCAGGGGATACAAAAGAATATACTTAGTGATCTTAACAAGCATGCTGTGAGGTGTGACTAATTAAGGGTTTGTTGGAGTCACATGTGTTGAACAAAGAGGTGCATTAGTTGCAGCTCAGCTGTAAACCACAACACAGTATGCTAACAGCCCCTTTAAAGCAAACACTGAAGAAGAAAATGACAACATGCATGTGTCTGTTTCTGAGTTAATGTCAGTATTCAGATTCTAATGATGTCCATGTCTGTGTTTCAGAGTTTATATCATTGTTCAGATTGTAATGATGTCAATTTATCTGTTTCAGAGTTGATGTCAGTTGATGTCATTGTTCAGATTCTAATGATGTCCATCTCTCTGTTTCAGAGTTGTCCATGTCTCTGTTTCTGAGTGATCATTGTTCAGATTCTAATGATGTACATGCCTGTTTTTCAGGGTTGATGTCAATGATCAGATAATTGAAGTTGACGGCAAAAGTCTGGTCGGTGTCACTCAAGCGTATGCTGCCTCTGTACTCAGAAACACAAGCGGAGAAGTCCAGTAAGCGGAGACTCAGTTCTGCTTATTTGTGCATTCGTTGTTTATCATTCCGGTATATATATGCATGCATCTGTGTGTGAGCTGCTGTGACGTAGCGGCTAGATGCTTACCTGCAAATCAGAATGTCGTGGGTTCAGGTCCTGAGGGAGCATCACTTCAAAACAAATAACAAAAAAATTACCTCAACTCCCAGATTGACCCCGCCTTAAATGCCTACTAGGTACAGTCATGGGAAGTAAATGCGGTGCCGATGGCCCAAGAAAATAGGTCTAGCTCTATATTTATAGGGAAGGTGTAGAAAACGTTCATTTACTTCTACCTTTACTTATGCATGTATGTGCTGCTTATGCGGGTGTACATATGTCACAGTCACACATTACAGTTGGCACATCAACTGTGTATTACTTATTAATGAGAACTAAAAAAGTGTACATTTATACAAATGAGATAAGGATTACAGCAGACAAGTATAAGCACTCTTGAGGAAATCTTATCTGACAGGAATCAGGTTTATTTTTGTGTCGGGATATTCTGGGGTAAGAGAGAATGAACGAGTGGATTGGTTTACTGGCAGGGACATTGTAGGCAGAGGGAAAGCAATGGATTGGGCCGTTGTTACCAGTGCTCTCAAGGAGGTAGGATCTGCAGATGATTTAGGAGACAATGGTGAATCTGCAACCAAAGAAGTGTTGCCAGAATTGAACACTATATAGGTAGCCAAAGAAGAACAGCAAACCAACACAGACACTGATGTTATCAGAGGCCACATGCAGAGGGAGTTACTGAAGATGGGATCTGAGCACTTATTGACCTGTCTGATGTGCTATAAGGATGATCTGTGGATTCACTAAGTAATTATGCACATGCATACACTCACACATCCATGTGTATATAATACACAGACATACACAGAAACCTACATGCAAGTCATACTTAGTCATTAATGAGTCTTAAATAAAACACTAAACCTCCTTTTCCAGTTTCATGATCGGACGAGAGAAGGACCCAAGCAAAAGTGAGGTGGCTCGGCTAATCCAGCAGTCTCTAGAACAGGACAGACGCAGAGAAGAGATGAGAGAAAAGGAGCAGCAGCGGTTGCGGCATTTGGAGGACAGTTTTCAGGTAGCATTGTCTGTGGTTCTACTAGTGTTGCTTTTTGCAGCAGTATCAAATAAAGCTGGGCTATTCATCTGGCGGCCTGTAGGCTGAGTCTGGCCTGCAGAGGCATAGCAAGTGGCCCACGGATCACCTGCCGTTTGTATTGTATTAATGATCTTTCCTTGCTGGGGCTCAGGTCACTGGATCTACCGATCCCCAGTTTTCCAGCATTTTCCCCCCTGAGTAAATTTTCTTGAGTTGCCCTGAAATAGAGGGTAACATTTAGAGAGTAGCTTTTTCTGTATATTTTTTATTAGACATGTAGCATGCTACTATCCTCAACTCATCTGTCAGTTTTGTGTTGTACTCCTGGTATGAACTGAATGGTTAATCTTGCATCATTTGTGTATTACCGAGAGATTTTTTCTTAGAGTCAGGTGCCAATTTTTTTTTTTAGATCAAAACAAAACTTAAGTATTTTAGAGGATTATCTATCAAACTTAGCATGGTGTCTTTGTCTCAGACAGTTCTTTTAGCTTATAACTGGGCAAAAACAAATTAGCCTGCTAATTATCTGGAATCGAAGGAGATACCATTGGAGAAGCATATCACAAAGACGATTATGATGACTGGCAAGATTCCATGTCTCTGTCCAGCTTAGTGGATTTGCGGGTGCAACCTGGATCTGATGAGTCAACAAAGAATGAGTGCGTTCAGTCATTTTTTTCTTGTGGAGCTATGAAGAAGAGATCGGAGCAGCTGTGAATCTGTCCAGAGTGCCATGATGATAGTCCTTACTAATCACTAAAGGAGATGATATAACAGACTTTCTGAATTGAAAGATGGTAGAGATGGAGTCATTAAGGAAAAAGTTTGGAGCTTTTGAATTGAAGTGTAGACAAATTCTTAGAATACCTTGGATCAGGAAGAGGAAAAATATTGACATTCTGAACGAGTTGAACATCATGGAGAACTGGCTCATAAGCAGCATCCTGTCCCGAAAGTTGAAGTATTTTGGCCACATCAAACGTCATGGTGGCTTGGAAAAGACGGTGATCAAATGTGCAGTTTGTGGAATGTGAGACGGGTTGACCACCACGAAGATGGATACAAGACATTGAGGATGCATTGGCATTGAAAGCATATGGGGCCGGAGAGCTGGCTAGGAAAATGGATACTTTCAGGTGTGCTGTGAAGAGAGCGACATTCTGTAAAGAACTTTGCTTATTGATGAGAGAGATGGAGTTAACCCTGTTGCCCAGAGAAGTTGCAAAATTGATAACTCTCTTATAGTCTATTTCCTAGAGAAAGCCACTTTTCTAAAAGAACATGTTTACAAGACACATAATTAAGGCTACTGGCTTTGTTCACACCTGTACAAATATTTAGAAGGTCAAGATATGAATATATTAACAATAGCACTGGGAAAGGGGGGGGGGGGGGGAATATCAATGGCAAAAGCCAAGTTGACATCAAATTTTCCCATAAATCTCATGGATAGAGGTCACAGGGTCATGGCATGAGTCATCAAATACATATATTGTTTGAGGCCCTGAGAATGTATCCCATTTAAATGCTTTTGTAGAGTTACCAGGGTGAGCGGGTCAGATTAATAATTTAGAATTCTGGGGTATTTCAACAACTGCCCTGAGAATTCTCTCTCTGCTTGAGATGGATGAGAAATAACATAGATGTGGGCTCCATGTGTGGCTGTGCTCAAGTGCTTAGAGACCGTGTGTGTGTGTGTGTATACAAGTTACAAGATTTGTCATTGTTGTCTCAGGCCAAATTGTTAACATGATGTGACTTTGTCCTACCTTCCCTTTCCCACTTGCTGCATGTGATAGAATAGTACACCCACCCTCCTTGCAGTGTTAATCCGGTGCAGTATTCTTTGTTTCACCACTAAGACATGATTTGATGTGCTAGCCCCTATAACATTATATGTTTCACCATTAAGATGCATGTCCGCAGTGTATTGTAACCTTATAGTTGAATAATTCCCAGCTCCGCAGAATGAGACCTTGAGCTTGTGTGGTTACTACAGCTGGGCTTTGTCTGAGTTCCTTTTACAGGGATGGAACCAGCATTGATGTAATCTGCTGCCTTACCCTTTCTACATCCAGGGGCAATAGATTAAAACTGTAATCTTATAGTTTTCCCTTGTCACCTGAGATAAGTCAAGAGTTTGTGACTCCAGTCTTCTGCGGTCATCCCAGATAAGCAAGAGTTTGTGGTTCTGCTTGTTGGGAGAACCTTTTCGCCTAACTGGCCTTGTCTTATATCTTCTTCTTTTTCTTCTTAGCATTCACCAGTTGTCAACTCAGGCGTGAGTCTGAAGTAGAACTGAGCACTTACGGGTTACTACCCTTGTGCCATGATGTTGATCCATCATCTAAACCTAAACCTAAACTTCAGTAAAAAGTTCTGGTTGTTTGTCCACTCCTAGACTTTGGTCTTGTTCTATAATCTGAGTCTTGTATGTAAAACTGTTTTACAGATCTGGCTTATGTGTATGCAGATTGTTGAATCTTCATCTGTCAGGTAGATGCACTCTGGCTTCAACGGAAACTCAAAATTAGTCAACTTTTACATGTTTTTGTGGTGGTTGGGATAGTGAATCTATTCTTGTTCACTCCAAAATGGGAGCAGGGCACCCGCATGGTGACTTATATCAGAGATACCATATTGGTGTAATGTTTGTGGTAGAGATTCTTTGGCCAATATTTCCCAACTTGGAACTTTTAAGGCATCTTTTCTAGATGTCTCCAATATAGGCAGATGGAGTGTCATATGTACTTTCAGCATAAAATGGGACAATTAGTTTTAATGCGCCTTTGATCAACATGTGCACCATTGAGCGCTTTGTGCATAGTTCAGCACACATATGAACTATTCACCATCTGTGTGTGCAATTCAGCATTATGTGTAAAATCCAGTATCCTGTGTAATGTCATCTGTTGTCATGTGCAACATTTAGTGTCATTTGTAACACACTGTTGTGGAAACTTACAGCCAAAGGATGAAGTGTTAGAGCGGCATGCCCACAGCCATCTCTTCCAACAACAGCAGCAGCAGCAGCAGCAACAAAATGTGGGTGAAGACTCAGGGTCTGACACTGAAGGAGATGAGAAGGTAGAGATACAGTACCTGTAGTCACCCAGTGTTGTGTTAGACTCTGCTCTATTGTCAGTAATAGCATGTCTGTATAATGTTGTCCTATTAGACTACTACTAATGTTATATGTCTGATTTGCTGCCATATATCTCTGTCTCTGTAGTGGAAATGCTGAAAAGGGAGGGGGGGGAGGGGGGGGGGAGGGATCAAAGCACTCTAGCCATATTGTCACCAGTTTATCATATTCTACACATGATGTCATTACTTTATCATATTCTATAATGGTGTCATTACTTTTTTTATATTCTATACATGATGTCATTACTTTATCATATTCTATAATGGTTTCATTTCTTTATCATATTCTATACATGGTGTCATTACTTTATTATATTCTATACATGATGTCATTACTTTATCATATTCTATAATGGTTTCATTACTTTATCATATTCTATACATGATGTGCAGCTCATTAAAATGCTCTATCAAGACCAACAAGCAGCAGTCAGAATAGATGGAGAGACATCAGACTGGTTTGGCATCAAGCAAGGAGTCCGTCAGGGATGTGTGCTGTCACCGTATTTGTTCAACCTGTACGCCGAAAATATAATGAGAAATGTAAGAGATGATATAAACAAGGAACAATATGATGCCCTAAACATCGGTGGTTATGAAATACCAGAAATTCGTTATGCTGATGATACAGTATTACTATCAACATCACAAAATGGTTTAGAAAACTTATTAACCTCACTCCAAAGAAATAGTGAAAATCATAACTTATTTCTTAACATAGCAAAAACAAAGATAATGCATACAAACAAAACTGCCATGGAGAAGGAAATATATGTTAATGAGGAAAGATTGGAAGTGGTGGAAAATTTTCGAATATCTTGGGTCACTGGTTACCAACAATGGTGACACAATGAAAGAAATTAAACGGCGACTATCAATTGCTCTTCAAAGACTAAAACAACTGAATAAATTATGGAATTGTACAGATAGAATTACAAAGGTCAGATTTTTAAGAGCATGCATCTTTCCCATTGCAACATACGCCTGTGAGACCTGGACACATACTAAACAAGCGGAACAGCGCATAAATGCATTTGAATATAAATGTTACAGACAAGTTCTAAGAATATCTTGGGTAAAGAAAAGAACAAATGCATCCATACTTCAAGAGCTGAATATTGAAGAGGGTTGGCTAGTAAAGACAATAAAACAAAGAAAATTGAAATATTTTGGTCACTTGAAACGTCATGGAAGTCTAGAGAGAACAATAATGGAGGGGTATATGCCTGGGAAGAGAGGAAGAGGAAGGCCAAGGAGAAGATGGGTGCAGGATGTGGCAAATGATCTCCAGATGGGTGTATCAGACGCAGGACATCTTGCTCATGATAGGAAGGTTTTCCGGAGGGTTGTTATGGCAGCGAGGTTCCGCGAGGGACATGCTACTGAATGAATGAATGAATACATGATGTCATTACTTTATCATATTCTATAATGGTTTCATTACTTTATCATATTCTACACATGATGTCATTACTTTATCATATTCTATAATGGTGTCATTACTTTATTATATTCTATACATGATGTCATTACATTATCATATTCAATAGTGGTTTCATTACTTTATCATATTCTATACATGGTGTCATTACTTTATTATATTCTATACATGATGTCATTACTTTATCATATTCTATACATGATGTCATTACTTTATCGTATTCTATACATGATGCCATTACTTTATCATATTCTATACGTGATGCCATTACTTTATCATATTCTATACATGATGTCATTACTTTATCATATTCTATACATGATGTCATTACTTTATCATATTCATGATGATGATGATCACACATTCTGTTTGAAACTTTAGCATATTCAATACACATTGTCACCATCTGTCACATTTTATAAATGCTGTTACCACATTGACACAGTATGTGCATGTTATAATCAGTTGATCCCCTTCTAAATGACATTATCACTGTATCATTCTCCATATATTATCAGTTTTTCCACATTATCTTCACAATTTGATCAGTTTATCACATTTATCTAGGATGGTGGAGGTAGTCTTGAGAAAGAGATTCCAAATCACCTGGAGCATGAACTGTCTGATCAAGAACGGCTACAATTAGAGCAGGAGACCGCTGCAGGTGATACTACACCTCAGTCCACACCTTCAAATGGTGAGGATGTCGGGGACAGTTCTCCTGAGGTGTCAGAACTGCAGACAACATCCGTGGCTGTCATACTTGAAGGGATCGAAGAGAAGCCAGGAAGCTCCAGTGATTCAGTGTCTCCGGACATGGAGAACGAGAAGCTGTATGTGAAGCTGAAAGAGGTAAGTCTTTATGCCTCAGAGTATGGTTCAGAATCTGACTTTATACATCTTGGTGCAAGAGACTGTTTGTTGTATAGCAGGGACAAGGAATCTCTGTTCGGCCAGAGGTCATTTGTATATTTTTAACATTATTTGCAGGCCATACTCAGTAAAAGTAAAGTAACGGACCTTTTCCCCACGCCATTAGAAATATAGGGCATATAGTGCTAGACATACATTTTATAGACCAGTTGGCACTCAGTGGGTTATCTGGTCAGCATCATGCTAGCCGTCTTTACTTCCCAGGACTTTATCTGATACAAATTTTACGCTGGGTTGACCTGAGCCAAGGTCATTTTGAAAAAAAAAAAAAAAGAGGAAAAAACTGGCTCGGTGCGGATTTCGACCTACAACCTTTTGACCAAAGGCAAACATCTAGCCGCTACACCATAGCAGCTACCTCCTCGCTACTGTTAGCAACTTGAAAAATAGGTTGCTATATTTAGTCAGACATTTAGGCTGTTGTCTTGGCAGGATCAGACCAAAGGATTTTGAGGACTTCTTTGAGGGCTGGACATTTCCCACTGCTGTTGGTTAGCAACATGAGGTTCTGAGTTGAGTGTGTGTGGTGTTAATGTTATGCGACAATTTGTGGCAGTGTGCGCATGTGAATATGAGAAGTGGTGGCAAACAGTTGTGTGAAATCACCAAGGTAAATAAAAATGAAGCAAGGATTAGTAAGATTATAACCTAGCATGCATTTCAAATAAAGCAACTGAGGAAGGGTGGCATACTTTTGCTGTAAAATCAAATCATTTATGAACCAGTTTACAGAGAGCTGTGCATGCGTTTTGTTGACGGCATATGCTACTTTTAGAAATAAAAGACAAAAGAAGAAGCGCGCGCGCGCACGCACGCACACACGCACGCACGCACACACACACACAATTAAAAGTTCAGAAAGGTGAAATTATAACTTTGCTGTGAATGTAAATCATGGCTGTTTGACAGATGCAATGAAAACTTTTAAAAATCTGGGAATCAAGAAGAAAAATGCTGACATTCTACAAGATCTGAACCTCAAATAAAAATGACTCCTAAACAATACTGTTTGAAAACTAGTAAAGCTTTGACTACTTTAGATCTCAAAGATGGAATAGAAAGGATAGTAAGGGAAGGTGTAGTTCTGAGAAGACATGGGGCTAACCAACATGTCTGTAGGCTCAAAACCTCAAAGACACCCTGGACAGGAAGATGAAGCAAGAGAACTGGCAAATGATAGAAAGAAGATTTTCTTTGATAATGAAAGATGGTATACTGTTTGAGAGACATATTGTGAGGAAGTGTGACATTGCATCTTGTAGTAAAGCATACAGCGACTATGAACAGATGGGCCCCTGAAGCCAGGATCGGGAAGATCGGCATATTGTGTCCATTTAGAAAGCCTGTATTGTGAACAGAGAAGACACAAACAACAGATTGCCCAATTTATTGCTGGGCATGTTTCCAATTTATCCCCTCACTTGCATACTACAGAATTAAACAGGGTGAAGCGAGTAAGTGAATCCTTCCAACTGAAGTACAGACACTACACTCACGTGTAACTGTTCTGCCTGATTAAAGCACATGGTGTCGGTCAGAGAGAGAGAGAAAGAGAGAAAGAGAGAGAGAGAGATGTCCATCCATGCTGGTCAGTCAGTCAAAGAGTATGGCAATCAGTCAGTTGTTGATATGTGTGCATACTCCTGTCTTCCACAGAGTCACTACAAGCTGTCAGTAGCAGAAGCAGAGATTGTCAAGTTAAAGGGCAAGGTGAAGCTCCACTGTTTGCTGTGGTGTACATGTCAGAACAAATGTATACAATTGGATCAAGACATGGATAGTTTTATAAAACTATATTATAGGGCATTTCTGTCTGTTGGAATCTGTAATGTAGATTTCTGTAACCGAGTGACTGTGCTTGAAAATTCCCAACTCCTAGAACCGTGAAAAAAATGTTATGATGCTTATCCACTAAATATCTTTGACTGCTTGAAAAAAAATCTGTAACAGACCCCCCCAATAAGTACATATATGCCTGTCCTTCATAACTGATGAGTACATGTATGCCTGTCCTTCATAACTGATGAGTACATATATGCCTGTCCTTCATAACGGATGAGTACATATATGCCTGTCCTTCATAACTGATGAGTACATGTATGCCTGTCCTTCATAACTGATGAGTACATGTATGCCTGTCCTTCATAACTGATGAGTACATGTATGCCTGTCCTTCATAACGGATGAGTACATGTATGCCTGTCCTTCATAACTGATGAGTATGACTGTCCTTCATAACTGATGAGTACATGTATGACTGTCCTTCTTAACTGATAAGTACATGTATGCCTGTCCTTCATAACTGATGAGTATGACTGTCCTTCATAACTGATGAGTACATGTATGACTGTCCTTCTTAACTGATAAGTACATGTATGCCTGTCCTTCATAACTGATGAGTATGCCTGTCCTTCATAACTGATGAGTACATGTATGCCTGTCTTTCATAACTGATGAGTATGACTGTCCTTCATAACTGATGAGTACATGTATGACTGTCCTTCTTAACTGATAAGTACATGTATGCCTGTCCTTCATAACTGATGAGTACATTTATGCCTGTCCTTCATAACTGATAAATACATGTATACCTGTCCTCCCTAACTGATTAGTACATGTATGACTGTCCTTCTTAACTGATAAGTACATGTATGCCTGTCCTTCATAACTGATGAGTACATGTATGCCTGTCTTTCTTAACTGATAAGTACATGTCTGCCTGTCCTTCATAACTGATAAGTACATGTATGCCTGTCCTCCCTAACTGATAAGTACATGTATGACTGTCCTCAGCTTGTGGCCTTAGAGAGTAACGAGGGACAGAAGAAGTTGGTGGAGAAGAAGCTGGAAGATCTCACCAGGAGGTTCCAGGAGAGGGACAAGCATTTTGATGCCTTGAAGAAGGAACTGTCACAGTACAAGGTAATTAATACCTGGAGCAAGTGGATGTATGTGCAGTAAAACATTGTCAATGCAAACTCACTTAAGAACACTTGGTTAACATGAACAGAATGTTGTTCCTAGCAGGGATGCATGAATTTGAGCCCATGTTTAACACACATTTTTTTTTTAAACATGAACATTTGGTTTCTTCGGCCCTTTTAAATTTGTGTAAATGAGGTTTTACTGTATAAAGCACAAACACACATATTGTAGTTAGTCATCATTTGTAAGGTAGCACAGGAGACACATGGTTGTACTTATAATATTCAGCAGAACCAGTAGCAATATATAAAAGATGTAACATGTAAGTACATAGAATAAACATATATTTTGATGTCTAGAAAATGTATACAATTAACATCTGTGGAATTGACTAAATAAGTTAACCAAACTAATTGCTTATCTATCTTATCCTCCCAAGACAAGGGCTAGATAATTTAGGAAATAGAGAACAGAATCAAGTATTTAAATTATTTTGAAATAATGGTTACAATTAATAGTTATATTATAAATAACTGTAACAGTTAATCATGTTTTACTAAAAATGTGATGATACCCTGGCTCCCACACAGGACATGATGGTGGCCTCTCAGAGCCAGCACATAGAGCTGGAGAAGAAGGTTCGAGAGCTGGGGGCCCTGGAGAAAAAATATCACAAGGCAAAGAAACTTATCAAAGATTACCAGCTGAGGTGAGTTGATCAGTTCTCAGGCACTAGAGTTCTCCTTCTTCTTCTTCTCCTCCTTCTCTTCCTCTTCTTCATCTTCTTCTTCTTCTGCTGCTGCTGCTTCTTCTGCTTCTTCTTCTTCGTCTTCTTCACTGGCTGTAAACTCCCGCAGAAAGTTCTGGTTATTTGTTCCATTTTAGACTATAGTCCTATTCCAGAACCCGAGTGTTGCAAAGATATCCATTTTACGGATCTGACTCTTTTGTGTGCAGACTTTTGATTCCTAGCCTCTCGGTCAGATACACTCCGACTTTGTAGAAAAACCCCATTCACATGCTTTTGGATAGGCAGTGGGTCTGTTCTTGTTGTCCATGCAATGAAACACTGGAGCCCACCCAGGAAATGTACATTCTCAGTTCTGTTACAATGGAAGGGGACAATATTTTACCAAGTCATCAAATATTTCTTCTTCTGCCTTTTAACCCCCAGCCCTCAACCAACTCATGCCGGGTCATTCTATCCTTTGCTGCTACATATAGCTGTCCCTATGTCTTCCCCATCTTTTAAACTTCACTGTCCCTCCTCCATGTGTTTTGTTTTGTTTTGTTGGTCTTCCTTTTTTCTATGCCCCTTTGGATTTTAGTAAAAAGACATTCTAGTTATGTTGTTCTTAGGTTGTCTCAGCATATGTCCTATCCAGCATCTTTTCTTCACCTCTTGGTCCACTTGAACTTGTTTAGTTCTCTTCCAAAGATGTACATTAGTTATTCTGTCTTGCCATTTAATTCCCTCTATTCTGCGCCGGCACCGGTTAATGACTATTTATCATTTATTAGTAATTGCCTAAGTTGTTCTCCATGTTTCCGATTCATACAACAGTACTCATTGACTTTAAAATTAAAAATTTTAATTTTAGTATTAATTTTAATTTCTTATGACCTCCACAAATTTCCTAATGCTATGAAATCTCCTCTTGCTTTTTGTATTCATATATTCATATATCTGTCACTTCCTCCATCTTTATCTACATTACTGCCCAAATAGTTTAGGGGCAGTAATAACATCAACTAGAAGGTGCGTGAAGTGGTTAAAAACAGGATAGGCTAAGCTACATTTCAGAAAATAAAAAATATGTGAAATAAATTACTGTCAGTTCCCCATGTATATTCTGGATCCAATTGGGGGGGGGGGGGGGATTAGACCCATAGTCCTCCTGACAAGAATGTCATATCAGGTGACTGATGAGAGGTTTGCTAAAGTAAAGAGCAGAAAGTTTTTACTTCAACTAATAAATGTTTTGGTTTTCAGGGAGTTGAAATAACAGTATGGAAAACAGAACAAAAAAGAGTTAAAGTAATAAAGTGAGCAGTGTGGATTAGTGTAACAGCTGGATGTGGCATGTCTCTTTCAATCCCAGCGTTTCTAGCAGCAGAAAGCCAAGGAAATGAATGACCATTATGAAAAGTCATGAATGCATAACATTCAGACATATTACATAGAGGTAGCCAGTATGGAAGCCAGATTTATTTAATTTGCTGCGACTGATAGTAAAATGGGAGTAAATACATGATGTGATGGCTGAAATTCATGTGGAAAAGTCTATTATGCATCGTACGTTGCTTGGGACTGATAAAATTAAGAAAATTGTGTAAGTAGAACCCATCATATGCATGGTGAGTTGCATGGTACTAAATGAGTTCAAGAGGCACACAGAAGAAGATAAAGAAGAAAAATAATTTATGTGAATGAATATCAGAAAGAGAGTGCTGAAATGTTATGTGGAACCTGTTTTGCTGAGCTGCTGTCTGACAGGAAAATGATAGTGAACTAAAATATCTCTGTGATATCCCTAATATTTTAGAACTGCCATCTTTCTGGTAGGAGATTAATGAACAAAAATGTGTAATTCCTTGATTTTGAAGAACTACTGTTTTACAGGGAGAAGGATTTCATCCAGGAGAGAGAGTCACTTCTGGAGCAACAAGCTGAGAAAGACCAGCAGTACAATTCTCTGGTCAAGTCTCTTAAGGACAGGGTAAGCACAAGTCAGCCACCCAGAGGTGCCAGCACCTACATTCTGTCACTAGAATTTCTATTCATAGTTGATGCAAGTAGCAATAATGGCAAACCAGCATGTGCATGTGCATTATACTGCATAAGGCACACTGTGGATTCTGTGGCAACTAGCCACTTATCATTTTCTGAATATGTAATTTACAATGCTCATCTCTGAGAACCCAGACAGTAAGCATTCCTCATGGAATCTACAGCTAATAGTGCAGCACCAGTCACTCAACTGGCTTGCTAGCTGATAGCAATGAATGTTGTAGAATGTTGTCTCATTCAGTTCCCAGCTGGGGGATGGAAACTCCAACCTTCACTGGGTTACTGAAAGGAACAGAGTCCATCTTGCAAAGGGGAAGTTAAAAGAGATATTAACTCTTTCAGGCCCACCAATTTTGACAGACTTAGCCCACATTAATTTCCTTTTACAAAAATGGCAGAGGGGGTGGTGTACAAGAAAGGCAATAGAGAATGTAAACTACTTCTAATCTCTATAAAAGTATATATTTTCTTTTAAAGAGAAACGAATGTACATTTTGAATCTGATAATAAATGTTAGTTTAATTTTTTTATAGTTAGTAGGAAAGAATAATTCAGCAGGTGTTAATTTCACAACAACATTTTATAAACAAATTCTTCACTTACCATGGTGTTTTGCAGCCACAAGAGTAGTAAATATCCAAATTTGAGAACAAAACTTCAAAGTTTGTTCAATTTCCTAACAAATTCCAAAGTTATGATACGTTGCTGGGTTAGTTTAGCACTCAAGGTTCTCACAGTGCTGAACATAATTTCAGGAGAAAAAAATGCAGAAAAATGGACCATAACACACACTATTTACTTTGTACAGTTATATACAGAATGTAGCTGCAATGATTTCAGTGTAGCTTAGCCATAGTATAGTACTAACTCTTTGCTTAGAGCACTTTCCTTTTCTTACACCATAAACATGGTAGTGATGGGACATTGTATAAACTCATCAGAATTGCTAGATTTCCAACAGCTGATTGCTCAGCTTCACTGATGAAAAATCACCGCCCGAATCACTTTCAGAAAAATCTAAATTTTCATTATCATTATCCCGAATTAAAGTCATCTGACTGAAACAGTTTCAGAGATTTGGCCGCAGAAAGACGCATTCTGCTACCTGTACTTGTGGTTGAAACATTGGTATTCATGGCACTCAAAAACAAACTTAGGAAAATGAACTCGAAAACATTTTTTGCTGCAAATTCTTTCAAATAATGCACTTGTGATTTCTGATAGGAAAAGTTTCTGAAAGGATTTCAGCCGAGTGACTTTCCCTGAATAGTTTAATTGTATTTTCGAACATTCGCAACAAGTACACAACCATGTGCGAAGCAAAATGCACAGGACACACGATCGATGATGGCAGTGTTGTTTGGGCAAAACGGAACTTCTCAAACAATGCTCACACCGTTGCTTGGGCCTCAGTGAGTTAAGAGAGAGGCTAAGAGATATTTAGTCTTTTATTACGCCTTATTGCTCCATTAGGACACCCACATTTGACAAAGTTGTCACCATCATATAGCAGGTCCTTTGCAGAATGTAACTCATCCCTCTTTTAAAGGAGCTGCCGTGATGCAATGAGTAGCAAGCTTGCCTGATGGTTTCTTGGTTATTGGTTTGAATCCCCATGGCAGCAGATGTTTACAAATAGATCTGGGCTGCTAAGTTGACCAGCCTAAACAGTTCTGGGAAGTAAAGGTGGCCATTATGAGATTGACCAGATTAGCTATCGAGGCTGTGTATGCCAGTAGAAATGCGGGGCTGACACCATAGGTCCAATACAGCTGAAGGCATAGAAGCGTGTCTTTTACTTCCCACAGACCTTCATTTTGATTGTGTTTTTGTGTGCGTATGAAATACCAATTTAGAGGACGACCTTGCAGGCCTTCAGTTGAATCAATAACTGTGTGATAAAGGAAGAGTTGCTAGACCATCAGTTGAATGACCAACTTTGTGGAATGAAGATCTGAACTCTGTATGATAAAGATCTGATAGACCCTTCAGTTGAAAAACTTGAAATACTTTCATTAGAGTGACTAACTTTGTACTTGTTGTGGTATTTCAGATATTCATGTTAGTTGAAAACCTGCCTGACTTTGAGTGATAAAGAAAGGCATGAAGACTTTTATTTAAGTGACTAACTTTTTGCTTGTGTTGCAGATATTCATGCTAGAGAAAGACCTGACAAACCTCCAGAAGGCTGCAGGGCTGCCTCCAGTCTTGTCCAGTGGAGATGACATTGAGGTGCCCTTGTCTCCTGCTAGACCTACGCCTCTTGTCAGAACTGTACACAGTGTACTGGGTGAGTGTAGTGTAGTGTAGTGTAGTGTAGTGTAGCTAGACCTACACCTCTTGTCAGAACTGTACACAGTGTACTGGGTGAGTGTAGTGTAGTGTAGTGTAGTGTAGTGTAGTGTAGTGTAGTGTAGTGTAGTGTAGTGTAGTGTAGCTAGACCTACACCTCTTGTCAGAACTGTACACAGTGTACTGGGTGAGTGTAGTATAGTGTAGTGTAATGTTGTATAGCTAGACCTACACTTCTTGTCAGAACTGTTGTATACAGTGTACTGGGTGAGTGTAATGTAGTATAGCTAGACCTACACCTTTCATCATAACTATTGTATACAGTGTACTGGGTGAGTGTAATGTAGTATAGCTAGACCTACACCTCTCATCATAACTGTTGTATACAGTGTACTTGGTGAGTGTAATGTAGTGTTGTATAGCTAGGACTGTATCTCTTGCCATAACTGTTGTATACAGTGTACTGGGTGAGTGTAGTGTAGTGTAATGCTGTATAGCTAGACCTACACTTCTCATCATAACTGTTGTATTCAGTGTACTGGGTGAGTGTAGTGTAGTGTAATGTAGTATAGCTAGACCTACACTTCTTGTCAGAACTATTGTATACAATGTACTGGGTGAGTGTAATGTAGTATAGCTAGAACTGTATCTCTTGTCAGAACTGTTGTATACAGTGTACTGGGTGATTGTAGTATAGTGTAGCAAGACCTACACCTCATGTCAGAATTGTTGTATACAGTGTATTGAGTGTAGTGTAGTGTAGTTTGTAATATAGTATAGCTAGACCTACACCTCTTTTCAGATCTATAAGTGATGTATAGGGTATTGGATCTGTAAGTGAGGCGTAATGTTACTGGATTTGTAAATGTATAATCTTATTGGATCTGTAAGTGAGGTACAGAATATTGGATCTATAAGTGAGATGTGATGTTATTGGATCTGTAAATGTATAATCTTATTGAATCTGTAAGTGAGGTACAGGATAGGATATTGGAGGTGAGGTGAGGTAATGTTATTGGATATGCAAGTGAATTGTAATGTTATTGGATCTGTAAGTAAAGTCTAATATTATTGGAGCTTTTAAGTAAGGTGTAAATGTTATGAGATCTGTAAATATTAATGTTATTGGATCTGCTTATAAAGTGTCATATTTATGGATCTGTTAGTAAGTGATATTACTGGACAATTTATGTTTTCATTTGCCCTTGGACAGAAGAGCCTTTGTCTCCACTCAACCAGTCCACAGAAGATGTGCTGGACACCTCAACCTGCTCTGAGATATCGGACCCAGCCACATCCCCAGGTAGAGTTCTGTCTTTCACATGTCGTCATCGTTATCATCATCATCATCATCATCATTATCACCATCAGAATCTTGGCCACCACCATCATCCGCACCAACCATAATAAATATTATAACTATCAGAAGTATCTGTTTCAACATCATTATGTGTTAAGTTTGTTGCAGAGCATCATAAATCACCTGGAACTAGTTAATGTACATGTGTGTACAGTATCATTTCAGCCAACGAGTGAGATACAGAATGTCCAGTACATGTATGTACAGTATCACTTAAGCCATAGAGTGGAGCTCACAATGTTCAGTACATGTGTGTACAGTATCAGTTAAGCCATAGAGTGGAGTTCACAATTTTCAGTACATGTGTGTACAGTATCAGTTAAGCCATAGAGTGGAACTCACAATGTTTAGTACATGTATGTACAGTATCAGTTAAGCCATAGAGTGGAGTTCACAATGTTCAGTACATGTGTGTACATTATCCTGTCAGCCATAAAGTGGGATTCACAGTTAGCAGGATGAGCTGTTCAGTACCATTTCAGTATCATTTCAGCTGAGTGAGATATCAACATGCCCAGAACACGTGTGTGCATTTCAGCTGTAGAGTGAAGTATTTTGTCCAGGTCACGTGTGTACACTACCATTTCAGCCATAGAGTGAATTATCACATTGTCTAATACTCACAGTATAATCTCAGCCATAGAGTGAATTATCACATTGTCCAGTACATTTGTGCACAGTATTATTTTAGCTATAGAGTGTAGTATCACAGTGCCAGGTTGTATGTGTGTGCAGTATCATTTCAGCCATAGAGTGTAGATCACACTGTCCAGTACATGTGTGTACAATATTTTAGCCACAAAGTGTATTATCACAGAGTCCTGTTACATGTGTGTACAGTATCATTTCAGCCATAGAATGAGTATCACATTGTCCAGTACACATGTGTACAGAATCATTTCAGTCATAAGAGTGAAGTATCAGAATATCCACTACATGAGTGTCCAATATCATTTCAGCCATAGAGTGAAGTATCTAAATAACCAATATACATATCTCAGTGTGAACAAAACAGTAATATAGTATCTGAATGACCAATACCTCAGGCATAGCTTATACAGTACCATTTCAGTGTGAATTCATGTGTGTGAAGTATAATGTTAACCAAAGAGTATTATTGTAGTATCTTTTAGACACATTTTTTTTTTTAAATAAAGAAAATAGAATGAGTGATAGAAAACAATACCTCATTCAGATTTTCACAAATCGTGTCCTTGTGTTTCCTCCAGTATTGGAGGAATCTTTCAGCATTGAGACAGCACTGGCCATGTCTTCATCGCCAGTCACAGTTGGTTTTCGCAGCCCTGAGCCATCATTCCCTGTGGTGGAGGAAACTGTCAAGTAAGTGTCCGCCTCTGTAGTTTTTGTGTTTGCCACTTCATCTGTCCACATAATAGAACTCTTCTGCTTGAAATCTTTAATGTTTTTGTACTGAAAGCTTGCGAAAAAAGGGCCTGTAACACAGGATTCTTGAAATCACATGGCACAAAGACTGAACTCTGTAGTTCCAGCAAAGATTGTCAGGTATATTTGTAAAAACTGCACCTGTAAACTGAAGAACATGTCCATGAAACGAACCCAGGACTTTCAGACCATGAGTTGGCTTGCCAACTTTGCCACAGAGGCCTCCATGGTCTGATTTCAATTCTGAACAGTGACTGCTATTATTTTCCTGTCTGTACAGCTTTAGGACTGACTACCCAGCTTCATAAAATCGGTACTGGACAATTTAGACATATCTGAATGGCCATAGAACATATTATTACCATATCTTTCTTCACATTGGGGTATGTATAGAGAAATGTCTGATAACAGAGTCAAAAACTGCTGTCATAAATTAATTGGATAGGAATAGACCTCAAGGAAGGCTAAGAAGACATTAGATAAGAAAATAAGTAAAAAGTAAAGATCCATTTTCACGCCTTTCGGCGCATCGGTCATATGGGCAGAGCGTCCCATATTTTTACAGACCATCAGCACTCGGTGGGTAATGTGGTCAGCATTACGCCGGCTGTCTTTACTTTCCCAGGACAGCCCATCCTGGTACCCATTTTAGGCTGGGTCGACCTGCGACGTCCCATACCACGACAAAAATCCACGCAGCCTGCAGTGAGTTTCGATCGCGGTATGCTGGCTTACGAGTCGGACTCGCAACGCCTTAGCCACGGACGCCGCAAGAAAATAAGACCTACCCCAAAATAAAACCTTAGTACGAATGTCCAGGATGCTTTAAATAAATGCCCTAGCCCAAAAATAAGCCCTAGTTAAGATTATCAGCTAGAATGAGAGACTTGTTGACAAATGGCCAGTCAGAGTACAGACACCTGTGGTGCACGTGTGAAAATGAATGGATGTGATTCATAGTTCAAGGTAGGTCACTTGTGTGAAATAAGACATTTAAGCTGGAATTAAGGGTTTGTAGTTTTGTAAGAAAGATAATTAGCTTTTCCTCAGTCTCTGATATCAGTTACATACTGACCTCTGCTGTATCTGTTATGCCTAGTCCAAGTGTTGTATCTGTGTTATCCATGCACTGTATCTGTTACCTACAGTATCAGTGTTATTTCGTAGCCCTAATGATCTTGTTTTTCTCCCCCCAGGTCACAGTTTGACTCCTCACTGAACACTACCCCCTCACTGGAGTCCATGGCCAGTAGAGATAGATCCAACCTGAATACAGCAGGAGGTGGTACCAACAGATGGTCGCCCACTAAGAAAATTCAGGTATGCACTTTTGTGCCTTAGCTCTTCTTATTTTGTTTTTTGTTTGTTTCAAAATTGTATATGTTGTCTTCTTTTTAAACCCATTCTCATCATACATTTTCTCTTCTTCTTCTTCTTCTTCTTCTTCTTCTTCTTCTTCTTCTTCTTCTTCTTCTTCTTCTTCTTCTTCTTTCTGCTCTTCCTGCACCATCTCCTCTTCTTCTTTCTATTCTTCCTATTTCACCTCTTCTTTTTTTTTCTTCTTGTTATTCTCATTCTCCTTTTCCTTCTTCTCTCTTCTACTTTCTCCTGTTCTCCTGTTTTATTCATTTTTCTCCTCCTATCCGCCTCCTCCTCTTCCTACTCCTTTTCTTTCTTCTTTTTCTTCTCCTCTTCCTCCTCCACATCCAAGTGCCTGGTCTAGAGCACCTCATGCACTGTTGATGTAAATCTTACTGTGTGACTGCAGACTGACTGGGTATATAGTGTGTATGAATAACCTAGATATTCTGTCTGTTTGTGGGCAGACTCAAGACTCCCTGGAAGATCTGGACTCTGGGAGTGAGTTCGCTGAGAATGGAAGCATCCACAGCAGCCACACTGACCAGGCAGAGAGTGGGCTGGACATGTGGAACAAACATGACAGGTAAGCTCCACCCCCACTCACATGTGCCCACTTAGTTGTTGGTTTACATTTGGTTTGTTTCATATACATGTTATTGCTGATCTTGTTGTTTTCAGAAAGGTGGTGTTTCAAGATCAACAACACTCATATATCATGTACATGTTATTGCTGATTACGTTGTTCTCAGAAAGGTGGTGTTTCAAGAGCAACAACACTCATATATCATATACATGTTATTGCCGATCATGTTGTTCTCAGAAAGGTGGTGTTTCAAGAGCAACAACACTCATACATCATGCACATGTTATTGCTGATTATGTTTTTCTCAGAAAGATGGTGTTTTAAGAGCAACAACACTCATATATCATGTACATGTTATTGCCGATCATGCTGTTCTCAGAAAGGTGGTGTTTTAAGAGCAACAACACTCATATATCATATACATGTTATTGCTAATTAAGTTGTTCTCAGAAAAGTGGTGTTTCAAGAGCAACAACACTCATATATCATATACATGTTATTGCTAATTATGTTGTTCTCAGAAAGGTGGTGTTTTAAGAGCAACAACACTCATAAATCATATACATGTTGTTGCTAATTATGTTGTTCTCAGAAAGGTGGTGTTTCAAGAACAGCAACACTCATATATCATATGTTATTGCTGATCATGTTGTTCTCAGAAAGGTGGTGTTTCAAGAGCAACAACACTTACATGTTATTGCTTTTTGTGTTCTTCTCAGACATCTGCTGCTGATGAGCACCAGTACCTATCCTATCCTGCCCAAAAAAAAAAAAAAACTGTGATTACCAAATCTAACAAGTTAGGAACATATGTATAGTATAGAAAATAAGATTCAGCTAACCCAAATAAGAGTTAGTTGGGCTTCTTCACCTAGAGCCGTGGTTCTTAACCTTCCTAATGCCACGACCCTTGAATGTTGTAGCGACCATTTAGTACAGTTCAACCCCCAACCATACAATTATTTTCATTTCTACTTCATAACTTCAATCAGTATGTGTTTTCCGATTGTCTTGGGCGATCCTTGTGAAAAGGTCATTCGACCCACAGAAGGGTTCACGACCCACAGGTTAAGAACCACTGACCTGACTTAGAGGAACTCTGAAGCAACATGGAGAAAGTCTAAAGGAACTTGATCACTGATCTACCTCCTTTTACCTGTGAATACCCCCCAGAGTTGGTGTATGGAATCTTAGGACAGGTGGCACACAGTAGGATGGATGGCTTGGTGTGGAGTGGTTGAGAGTCTGCGCTTCTGGGAGTGGGTTGGGGAGGCTTAGGCCTGGATTGAACATGAGTTATAAAGAATGGTGACAGACCAAGCACACATGTTGTAATAAATGTTATACTTGTAGCTAACATGACCAAGTCTTGATTAAAGATAGGATAGAGAGTTTAGCGCTAGACAGGGAATTATAGAGATGATAGAATTAAGATTGAGACATGACAGTCTAGACTGAAGACGGGATCAAGAGTGTAGCTTGAGACATGACATTCTAGATTGAAGACAGGATAAAGAGTGTAGCTTGAGACATGACAGTCTAGACTGAAGACAGGATAAAGAGTGTCACTTGAGACATGACTGTCTAGACTGAAGACAGGATAAAGAGTGTAGCTTGAGACATGACAGTCTAGACTGAAGACAGGATAAAGAGTGTAGCTTGAGACACGACAGTCTAGACTGAAGACAGGATAAAGAGTGTAGCTTGAGACAATACATTCTAGACTGAAGACAGGATAAAGAGTGTAGCTTGAGACATGACAGACTAGACTGAAGACAGGATAAAGAGTGTAACTTGAGACTGGACAGTCTGGATAAGGCAGGATCAAGAGTTAAGATTGAGCTGGACTGTCTGGACAATTCAGGATAGAGAGTTTAACTTGAAACAGGATGGTCTATCTAGACTGAAGACAGGATAAAGAGTGTAGCTTGAGACAGAAGAGCCTAGACTGAAGACAGGATAGGTAATTAAGCTTAAGACAGGAGAGTCTAGACTGAAGTCAAGATATGTAATTTAGCTTGAGACACGAGATATATGTAGACTTTTAAGATGAATAAGTGTTAGGTATAAGCAGATGATGTTTGATTGAGACAAGCAGATTGTTTTTAGGTTTGTTTGAATGGGTAGGTTTTAGGTAAATACATTTACAAAATTTGTATAAACTGTAGGCCCAAAAAAAAAATGTTTAAGATTCTTATAATTTGTTGATTTGATTGAGGCAAAATATGGGTTAGTCTGGTTTATATAAATGGATATAGAAGTTATATAAAGATTACATTGCTAAGTTTGTATAAATGGATACATAAATTATGAAAAGACAATTGCATTACTAGGTTTATATAAATAGATAAATTAGGTAATGGAAATTACAATCCTGTTTTTGTAAAAATGGATTTGTAAATTAAATTAAATTAATTAAAAGATAAGTATATATATAAATAGGTATATAATTATGTAACGATTATGTTGCTAGGTTTTGTATAAACAGACATAAATTATAAAAAGATATTTACATTTCTATGTTTGTGTAAATGTTAAATATATATATAAATTGATTTAAATATGACTACTCTGCTAGGTTTGTATAAATGGATGACTGTACCTTTTAGTACTTAAATTCCATTATTTAAAACAAAGCTGTATGGTTTCTATGACAGCCAGAGGCTGTCTGTTGCAGTAACAGGCTTAAGGACCACATATTGTTCTTTGTGTTGTGCATCAAAACTTTCTCCTTGTTCTAAATCTATAGGATTCATGCCACTCAGTAAGCTAGTGCGCTAGCATTTGTGGTTCCTTAGTATGCACCAGGGGTCGTTTGAGGCAGAGAACTCTTATGTGTAATGTTGGGTTACTTCTTTATGAGGTGACCAGTTCTGTTTTTTCATCACCTCTTCCTTTCTTGCCATCTGTCTTCGTCACTTTTATACCTCCTCTGCTCAGAGACAAATCAAGTTTCCATGGAGCAGTTTCTGACTAGGCTAAAAAAGTAGAATGAAAAGTACATTCTACCCCACCGGGACATCACACAAGCGATAAACACCAGATGACACAAAGTGCCACCATGTAGATGAGTATCACCCGTGGAGAGGTCCCGAAAATCACGTTCAGCCATTAGGCTAAATTTATGGCCGGGTTATATTGCGACCCCTGGCAAGAGCCAGGGTGGGGCTGCAAAATAACAAAACATTGCATCTCACAAGGGGATGACTGGTTATTACACGCTACAAATCAGTAGTTGGATAGTTTCTTTCCTCCAGGATTGCACTGTGTAGGATTCACACCTCAAAGGTACTAATCCCAGAAGCCCCATTCAAAGTTGTAACATTATATTGAGGCCCTGATGGCTACATCCTAACTGTACACTGAACAAAGTGATACAGCTTACAGTGGATCACTCTGTTTTGTTGTTGTTATTGTCTAGAATGCCAGCATTTGTCAACATGTAAGTACTGGGACCTGTCTAGTTGCTACCTCCCCTTGTTACCAGCCAACTTATATATCAGACTTTCATTTTGTTTTGACTGTGCTCGCATTAGTTTATTTTGGGTAATTTATTCTATGTTTATAACTGCAGCCTGAATGTGCAGCTTTGTTGTCATACACAAAAGTGATATTTATTGATGTTTGATAGTTTTACTTCTTGATTTTTGTCATATATTTTGGGGCACTTGTTTTATCTGTTAACTGATTGTTTATGATTGTTAGGTCATTTCAGACTTATGATTGTTAGGTCATTTCAGAAATTCATGATTATTAGCATATTTATTTTCTTTTTTCCTGTCCTTTTATCCTCCTTTAGAGCTGATGTCCTCAGCCAACTCAGCTTCAGCCGTCCTGTCTATTGCCATCTTCTACAGCTCAGTCTACATCCTCACCATATTATTAATTTAGGTATCTTATTCACTTGTCAGCATGTATTTGTGACTTTCCCTATCTTGTTTTCCCTCTGGTTTCCATGCAATCATGTTTTAGTTACACCTGTCCTTTGGTTTTCTTATTATGTGTCCTGACCATTGCCAGGATCTTTTCCTCACCTTATATGTTGGTTCCCACCTTAATCTCTGCATTAATGATTATGTCATTTCTATATAATTTACATATACATTATATTGCCTTACCTGCTGGGATGTTGGATGTGAACATGTTCTATTCATTCTATGCTTTGAACTTCAGCTTCAGATTTAAAACACAGCCTTCCCAGAAGAGTTAAATTTCAGTCTTCCAGCAGAGTTAAAACTTGGCCTTAGGGCAAATTTACCAGCCGACCAAACAATAGTCATCAAATGTTTACATCTAAGAAACAATCTGAGAATAGTAAAATCTGACTGGGGTGTACAAATAAAGGAAGAGCAAAAACACACAGCAGGGAGCTAGAGAAGGAAATTATAAAGGAAGACATGGGGTGAGCTGCATATGATAAAAAGGGATAAGAGTTGGTTGAGAGCCTGTGCTCCATTGGGGGTGGGGAGAGGAAAGGAGGGGGGGGGGGAGGAGGAGGAAAAAGACCTCTAAGACTTATGTAGTATCCCATGTGTATAAAGACTGTACATATATTTCACAAGTATATAAATACAACATATGGTGGTGCATAAAGGTATAGACATTATCTATTTTATCTTTTAACAGTTTATTGGTTTTATGGCTGTAGTTTTTGACGATGTTCATTGTAAGTTTGTGGGTTTTCTCTTGCTTTGCACACTGTGTCATTTATTACTGTAACTATTATTTTTCTTCTTCAAACACATCAACCACTATCTTCTTCTTCTTCTTCTTCATTTGTTTGTCTGAAACAGATTATCTATATCTGCAGTTTTCTTGTATACATTTTATTGTCTTAAAAAAAAAAAGTAATTCAGTAGTCCATAAGGTTTACTTTTCTCTCCTTTTTTTTTTTAAACCAAAAGGTTTGCCTTAGTTCAGGGCAGTCTTGGAGTATGTTTTGCCATCTGAGGTTGTTCCACATGTGCTCATAGCTGATACATCAGTTTTGTACCTTGTTT